GTGTGTGGAGCGTGTCTGGAGCGTGGAGGAGGAGCGGAGAGGGCGAGAGGATGCAGAGGAGGATGGATGGGACAGTTGGTACAGGTACCGGTGCTGCCAGAGGAGATGCTCGGTCGCAGGCTTCGAGCTTGCTTGCCTTGGGCCTTGAGCCTTGCTCACCGCTGCGGCGCCTCTGCGGCGGATGCGGGCGAGTGACACTGCAGGCGTGCGGAGCTTTAGTGCTTCACAAACACACGCACGACGCACGCACGCACGCACACCACTCCTGCCCACACACACGCCTGTCGCAGCGTGGTGCTTCCTTCGGGCGGCCGACGCTGCGTGAGGAGGGCTCGGCCGGTCGGCCTGTCGGTCGAGTGTCTGTCTGGCGCTCTGTCGGGCCTGTCGTGCTGGCGGGCTGCTGCCTCGATGCGATATCACGGTGCTCGGCGTGGCGGGTCCCTTCAATCGGCACACCAGTCAGTCAGTCAGCTAGCTACTCGGCTCCGTCAGTGTGTCTCGCGCTGTCGGCGGCGGCAAGCGATCGTGATCGTGCTCGGGCTGGAGGAGCAGCAGCAGGCAGGCAGGCAGGCAGGCAGATCAGAGGCGGCGGCACGGGCGAGAAGACGCAAGTCTGCGGGCGGCGACAATCCGAAAGGAGATGGCGGGGTGGAGGAGACGGCGGCGGATGAGAGGGGAAGGCAAGCACACGTCGGGCTGCAAGCGAGACGAGCCTCAGATGCCTGTACCTTTGGCGGTATGGCTCTGCGGATTGGTTTGGCTGGCCGAATGGGGCGTGATGGGTAATCTGGGTGGCCGGCTGGTCCCCAATTACCAAGTAGCTGTGCTTGTATAGAGGAGAGCACAGCATCCATATTAACGTGCCGCCGCCGCCTGCGTAGCCTTGCAATTGCAATGCTCTCCGCTGCAGAACAGGAGGCATTCTAACATGCTATCCTCACACATGCATATACTCGAGTGCACATTCCATCCTCACACACATGCTTCATACAGCTGCCTCCCTCCCCCCCACCCCACTTCCGCCCCACACTCACCCCTCAATCTTTCTTCCCCAGTCAAACCCAGTCGAAATCCACCTCGCAGCTCCATGGCAGCTCCCAGCCCTGTCAGCCGGCTTGGCTTGGAGCTGCGGCAGAGCCGAGCCGGAGGATCGCGAGAATGCTTCGTAAAGTTGATGCAACAGCACAGCTTTGCAAAAGGAATTTCACTTGCGGTTGACTGGTTCAGGCAGACGCAATTCGGTACGGGAAGAAATAGGACCAGGATGCTTGTTCTGTTGCTTCTGCTTGCTTGCTTCTGCGGCTCTTTCCTGATGGGGAGGTAAACAAGTTGAACATGTACTTACAAGGCTGAAAAACGCGCGTATTTTGTGACTTGTCGCTTCAATCGTAACCTTCGCTTTCGCTTGTATCCTGGTGTTCTTCGAAGCCGTATTTTTGTTCAGGGAGCTTAAAGGCTGAGCTTTGTAGCTTGTGAATGTGCCGAAAGATTGTTATTTGAGTCAACAAGTAGGAAGAAGGTATTCTTGTAGCTTCAGCTGATGAGCAAGTTCGTTAATTTTAAGTTGCGTTGGCGTTGAATTGACTCGCGGAATGAGACTATTGACTCGCTGACTGTGGAAATTGCACAAACAAGAAACAAGAAATTTGGTAATAACAAATAATAATAAGTCAAGTAACTAGGGCAACAGCCCACCTCTAGATGCTGCTCGCAAAAGCTAAGTTATGTCCAAAGAGACAAGAAGTAGGTAGATTACTTCTGCTCTCGCACTCGGCTTGTTTGTTTTCGATTCAATGTCACTTCTTTGAGAGTAATTTTTCTTTTCTTGCAGCACCTAGGCTAGCTTGTAGCAGTCATGCAAGCAACAACTGGGATGATAATTGAGAGGTGTCAGCCAGGTTGTGCGTTTGTTTAATAAAAGTAGCGCCGAAAAGGTTAAGATACCGGCGGCAGCGGGACGGGGGCTGGGGAAGGCCGGCAGTACTCAGTTGTCAGTCATAATCCTTAACAGGTAGGATAGAGTACAATTTGGAGATAATTAAGTAGCATTCGCGCACAAGCCCGTAAATTTTGTTCTCCTCTATTCAACCCCGGTCCGCCTAGTTGGGGTGATGATGATGATGATGTTGATGACGATGGATTTCGCTAGCTTCGGCAACCCGATGACTAGTTCCAGCAATCCTTTGGTGCCAGGGACGTCGCTAAACACAACAGCAGACGTGTATGAGCTTGTGTGTTGTTCTTCACGTCTACAACTCTTTCGGATGAGACTAGAAAACGTCATGATCAATTGATTGACCTCGGGGATACCAATCGGGGAAAAACTTACGTTAATTCACAACCAGCAACAGTGCGACCAATTTGCCGAGAACGGTTCTGAACCACAACCAACATTCAAGGGATTATGTCAATGTTCAGTATTGCCCCTTCCATCCCGTGACAACTCATATCACAAGTAACATGCATTTCACATGCCTCCATTGAATGAATGGATGAAATGAAGACAATGTGACCAATTCCGTTTAATCTTGATCAATCCATGCTTTAGGGTTGAATAACTGTTCCACCGTTGCTGAGCCACCTGTGTGGTGCGCTGCTCTTTGTCGATGATGGCAATCACTCTACTGCCACACCAAATCATAGCAAGCGCTTAGCCATGGCAGGATTCATCTCGGCCAGTGAAAATCCATGTGCCTGGATCAATAAATTCGTCCCGTGGTGAATACAGAGGAAAATACCGTGTACCGGTAGGTTGACTCTCTGATGTAGGGCATTGGGTCATGTAGACTCATTCAATTATTTGAAATCGTTAGTTGCCACTGTTCACCATTGCGCGGCCAAAACAATCCTAACAGCCCATTAGTATGAACGGGAAGCGAAGGAGTCAACTTAAACATCCATCATCATCATCCTATTAATCCTTTCTTTTCTTTTTCCAGAGACACTTTTTTTTTCCATGTGTTTCTCACTGTGCAGGTTGGTCCTCCGAGTTCCTGCCCTCCCCAACCCCTGTTGAAGTAATCGTCTTCCAACTTTCCACGCCCAACATCCTTGACCGTTCTCCTCCACAACGCGCACCACCACTCCACAACCCATGTCCCATGCCCAGACAGTTCGCCAGAAATGCCAGCAAGCTCTTATCGTGAGATATGACCTGACTCTCCTCAACCATTCAGAATTGAATACAATGGGATGTACCATTTGGTACCCTCAAAAAGCGCTTCAGCCCATGGCCAATCGGACTACGTGCGCTCTTGGCTTAACGCATCTTGCAACTGCTGTTGAGCTGTAGAGGCGGGGCTATCAGGGGGGGGACATGGGTCCCGCAGATGCAGACAGCATGGGTATGCCTTTTTTTGTGAACCGAAAAAGGTCATTCTGTAGAGCGTGAGCGACAGAGATGGTTGCATAGAGGTCGGCCAAGTGGCAGAGATGACAGTGGGGAGTGAGGGGTAGACAGGCAGGCAGGTATTCGAAGGTACTCTAGAGATTCTTGAAGGACAAGGGAGGAGGGATGGTAGCAGTACTTTTACCTCCAAGCTCCAGGGGTCGTTCCGTTGCATGTGCACGAGCACATCCTAGTTTGAATTGGGATGAAGCAGGTACCCAAGAAAGTCTCTTGCTCGAGCTTTTGTTGAGTTCACATTGAAAAGCTCTCCAAAGGGCATGATCTTGAATAGTTGTGTCGGCGTGCTCTGTAGCGAGGAGAAGAGGAGGATGAGAACGATCGTGAATGCGGGGGATGGATCTGTGGTACGCCAACAGGTCGCCTTTCATTGTCGACTTCCACATCGACGTCAAGTGTGGGACTTGCAATCACGTGCATGCTTATGAATGAAACTAGTTCCGAACAGGTACTCGAGCGTTCGCCTACTCGAGTACTAGTCCCGACACAGCCGAGATCTTCTTTCAACTGCACCCGTATGTTTTCAACCTGACGAGACAAATTCAAACTGTAGACTCACACTATTTCGATGACCATGGTGCCCTGGTTATTTTCTAGAAATATGGGGCTCCTGGCCTTCATTGAGACTGACACCTAATTTACTGGTATGATAGGTCAGCCTTGCAGCTCAGTTTACAACAATTATCACCGATTCCTAGAGCTTCGATAGAAGCTTCTACCGCAATACGATAGCATTCTTCAGAGCTCGAGTCTCGGATAGAAGGATGGAGATTCTGGAATGCTTCATGACACATCCCTCCACTTCAGCCTATCGACCGGCCGGACCGAACAGCTGGCAAGGTGAAATGTTTCGAAACGATCTAGTATCGGGTCATCGAATTCAACCAGCGCTCCTCAATTGGTTCAATGTTCAACTAGACCTGCAGAATGGATAGATGCATGCATATGCCTACACACCTGTGAACATAAGCTTCTGGTATGTACCTAGATATGTACTCCCACACAGAAGGTATACTATTATGTAGGTGGCTAGGATGAGTTAAGTATGTACGAGTACTCGTAGGTAGTTGTGAGCAGAAGAAGAAACCATGGTACAGTTCATTTTGAGACCACTGCAGCCTGAAACATTTCCCGCTGGCACAGCTTTTTCCTTTACATATTTTATATTTTATTTTCATTAGGCACTTTGACCAGGGATACTCGCCAGGACGATTGGGTGGGTTGGTAGAGCAGAAAAAATAGAGAATTGTATCCATTTAGCTATAGGTAATTCTGTATGGGCCGCTAAAGTTTTAATCAATCAATCGTGAGCGGAACGCCTGCGCTGGAAACTATCATGCATATTACAGCCACAAAGAGCTCGAAGGAAATGCACATAAATTCGATTTGGCAGGTATAGCCATTGCCTTCTTGTAATTAAAAAATAATGAACTCGATTACCCGAATTCAAAATTTAAAGCGGTACATGTCGAGAAAATTAACCTCTCCTCCCAAATATATAGCCATTAATTATTGCAGAAATTAAAATATTACACAGTGCCACCCTACCACTTCAAGCAGCAAAAATTCCCCTCCCCGACAACAAAATCTAGCTGCCCGATTGGCTCAGTGGTAGAGTTTCAAGTGCCCTTACCTAAATGGGGGCCTTGAAGACCGCAAGTTCGATTCTTGCATCGGGCTTAGGACCATGAGGTCGAAGGTCACACTTCAACCTCATGGGACTCTCCTTCTTCTTTTCTGTTGTTTTTTTTTTTTTGCTGTTCATTCTCGGTGATTTTTTTTTTGATTTTTTTTTAGGTAGTTGAACGTTTAATCTAAAGCATTGGACTAGTGATTCGAGGTGAAGATACTTTATTTTGTGACTTCTTTGAATACTTCTTTTATTCTCGAGGGTTGGGGGAACGTTAATAATAATATTGACTAATAATTAAGTACCTATAACGCTAGTAATCATGACGTATTCCCGAATATACATACTTCCATATGCAGACTCTAGGCGTCCCATCATGATCATACCTAACCAAAAAAAGGTAATGTACTCTACTCGTAGAGTACTCTACGCTAAAGTCCTCGAGTGCATGCACTCGTGCACACGAATTCTCATTGGGGAATTAGCCGACTTAAGTACCTACTTCGACTCGAACTCCTACAACAGGAGTGAGGTACATGTAGATTGCTCTTTACGTATTAGGTACATTTACTCTACTGGAGCAGACTGCTGAGGTATGTACTCGAGTACTTGAAGTAGAATAGGATCCTCCTGTACTTTATGTAAGAAGATGTATGTACTTGTTGTACTCTACTTAATGTGCTTAATCCATATGCTTATATCCAAGTAATATAAGCTTTCATGGCCTCGTTTTATGATGCATCGATGCTCTCTAGGTATAGTCGGCTTTCAGCCTTTCCCGTGATTTAATTTGGTGCCTTGCCATAATACGGAACTCGAGTAAATGCATCCATTCGATAATTCAGTCCAAACTGTTCGAGAAGCTGAGGCGAGGGCCATGAGTTCATGAGATGAGGTCAACAATCATATTGTTCCTCGCTCTGCTTCCCCGATATATATCGATGATAAAAAACAAGGAATCCTAAAAAATATATTAAGCTAAAGCCTTACACTATATTTTGCGTCCGAAAAATTATTAGAATTTGTATTCATGCCATTGTCCGCGCTCTTTCCAGACATCGAGCTCCTCCTCTACCAGCTGCAGCAGCTGCTCCTCCTCCTCCTGCTCAAAAACGTGTATACGCAATTCCCGGGCCAACATGTTTTCTCCTCCCGCCTCGAGCTCCTCCGTCTGGACATCGATACTTGGCAATTGCAACGGTCGGTCCGAATAGCCACTGCCTTGCGTTGCCTTGTTCAAATATAATAGATTACCTTGCCGTGCGTGCGTACACATGTACAACGTCGTGCTACCATGATCATATCATATCATACATACTATCAGGGCAGGTAAGCATCTACTCTATTCTCTCTTCGCTTGACTGTCCGCTCATATATATGCATCAATCAATATATTCGTGCATGGCTTTTCATGGGGTTTCCCGTTTACTCAGAGTTACACTCAGCGAGGAGGTAAGTAAGTTATTCAGACAGCTAGGGAAATCGACATCGATATCCGCGGAGATCGGATCCCTACATTTCAACTCGAATGCCTACTTCTACACACTTAATTGAGCTTGAGCTTTGCAATGGGCTTGTAACCCCTCACGTTAACTGTGCTGCAACGATACTCTATGCTAGGCACATACCTACATAAGCTTGCGAACATCTATATCGTGGCACCAATCAGATTTTTCCTCTGATAAAGGTACAGGTAACAGCTCAAGGATGTGTGCATAATGCATGCCAAGTAGCTTTCGACGGTCGTACACACACTTCGAGTTTGGAAAGTTGGGTAGGTAGGTGGTAGTTACCCCACTAAGTCCAACGATTTGCAACGCAACGTTGCATGCTAACAATTCTAACATCTTGCCCTTACTTTTTGCTTGTGGCCAGCGGGTGTATTCGAATGTGTTGGGATGCATGCACGTTACTTGTTACTAGTTGCTGTTACTTTTTCATCATGGTTGATCTTTGTGGGCCCGAGGGGTAGTGTGAGGGTATACATGTTTGATAGAAGGGTTTAGCTCTTCTCTGACTTGTGGTTTGACTTGTATATTAAATCGTATGTTCTCGTCCGGCACGAGACTGTTTTCATCCCAAATATTAATGTTTCCTGAATAGGTAGGCAGCAGTCAAAAACCAACGACTACCCGAAGTGGAAGTCGGCTCGGCAGCCTCGTATGACGCCTCGAAGCTTGGCAAAGGGACGGAATAATAAGGCTTCCAATTGCAATCAATTGATCCGTCTCCCTTCTTCTCCCTCACAGCCCTCTCAGCTTCAAATCGCGATACCCTCGCGGCACTATACTCCAGCTCTTCGAGTTCCAACACCGATCTCTCATGCCATCTCTGCATCTCCATCGACTCATCCAGTGCAAGCACAAGCTTCAAACCCACCGAACCCCAATAGCTTCCTTCTTGGCAAATCTCCTCAAAAGCTCCGCAGCCGTTCTGGACTCATCTGCATGCGCAAAAAGGTCCATCAATGGCCATCTCACCACCATTACCCCCGCAATATGTACTGTTTTAGGTAGGCAAGGTAGCTAGCTATCTGCCAACCTAGCCGCGGGGCCCGCGGGGAAAGGGCAAGCGCATAATCGATGGGCAAGCTCTGAAACCTTGCAACGCAACGCAACTGAGAAATCAGGCAGTTAACGCTCACTACCTCCGCTTCTAGCTCGCTTGGGGAAAGGTACAAAACGTTCCTATACGACAGCAGCACTCTTCAGTGCTTTGATACCAAGACCTTCAAGGCTGAGAGAGCTGTTGACTGGAGCTTACAATAATGAGAAAAAACAAAACAGAAAGATAGGTAGCTGTAGGTACTAGCACCCTAGAAAAATGTTCGCTCGGTGTGTCACGGCGTGTGGTGGGTGGTGGGTGGTGGATGGTGGGGTGGTGCATGTTGCAAACAAAAAAGAAAAAGAGGTTAATGCATCGATTATCCCAGCATCCAATTCATGACGTGGTCGATCGCGCCAATCGATAAATCTTCTCAACCATTCTTACAACGCATCACATCACATAAAATAAAAACCATAGCCACAACCCCTGACGTTGAAAGAGCTAACCAAGTGTAGTGCCGGCATAGCATTGTGAGGAAGCTCTCGAGGGTCGAGACCGAATAGAATCTGTTTTTGATGACTGCGGACTACGGCACTAGTAGGAGCCAATTATCTTGCCATTGGTGTTGACAACCAATTGAAACATTATCTCGAGGTTGGTAGTGAAACATGAGATTAAACATGTGAATGACACTAATCATGAACAGGCAGTTGGTTTTATGTTCGGGTTATATTTACTCAAGCTAACAATTTTGACTCGTGCTCCAGAATCCGAGATTACGAAGGTAGCTAGCTTTAGAGTACCTTACAGCGCCCCCCATTGAAGGATCACCATGATCACCGTTGTCCATTTATGCCAACGGTGATTATTTCTGCCTTTCAGCTGAATGGACGACAATTTCTCTACCGAACAATAAGGTCGGTGAAGGAGAACTCATGAGAACACACATTTCTCAAACCCCCTTTGAGAGCAGCTGGAATCTTAAATCCGATAAAAAATCCATTGTTATTCGTGAGCTCACTAATTCTTACTTCGAGTTGAGTTGTAGCTGGCCATGGTAATCAACTCGGCATAATATTTGCACATGCTTGTATTACATCTGCGCATATGATGTGGGCATGGGAGATCATCATCTTTACTTACTATAGGGACAATATCAAACCTTTACTCAAGTACCTTCCAGCAATATGTCGGTAGTGATACACGATGGTAACTGTACATCTCTGGACTTAAGCCGCCCCCCCACCTCAACTAATTTACACACCACCATAATCAAAAAAAAAATCCATACTAACTAGTAATTATTTAGATTTTACCCCTACAGTCAATCTATCCACCAATACATCCAACGCAGCTGCATACATACACTCGGCCCATCTCCCAGCTCATCTAGACTTTTTGCTCATCGACTTTTATTTCACCCCGAACAGACCAACCCATGGCCCATGGCCAATATACCATGTCCCCGGGATGCCACGCAGGCAGTAAGATCATCATCATCATCACCACCATACCATGCCATGCCACCATGCCACCAAGTACATGCATACACCACCACCACCACCACCACCACTACCATCATGGCAAGCGTGGACCAACAGAGGGATTTACCAGGGCTCGGGGCAGAGGAACATACTTAGCTTGCAATTGCTCGAAGAGGAAATAATTTGTGAATCAGGTGGTTTTTTTGGTGGGCAATAGATGCTATAGGCCTAGGCCTAGCTAGGACAGCTGTCGGCGTCGACGTCGCTCTGCCAGGATATTTTTTGTGAGGGGCTCCAAGCAAGCCAGGGCAGTACGACATATCGACACCGACCATCCCAATCCATCACCTACACTTACCTGATTGGTAAATTCTCGGCCCGAGCGCCAGCTTATGCAATACAATAGGAATTTCGAACCACTCTATAAAAGAATATTATGGTAATATTACTTTGCTATAGGTAAGTAGCCATAGGCCCCCACTTCTAGACAACTACAACTAGCTTTTTTCAAACTTGATTCAATCTGGGTGTGCATTTGCAATGAGATAATTCAAATTACAACGTCACTCATTATCATATGGCATCGATATCCATCCATTTGAAGGGGATTCGAAGGCAAAAGAAAAAAGCCTTTATTTTTATTGCACTGTATGGCAACCCCCTCATATGTGCATCATATATGCATTCTACTCTACGTTAAAATATTGCCCTAAAATGGTATCTCCGTAGCGAAGACGGTGGTGAGTGTCCATGCCAGGTTTTTATATTTTTATTATACGAGTAGAGTACTGCTTATTATAAGATGTGTTCCGGGGTCAGGGATTGGACGCATGTAATATCGCTATATAGAGTAGCGATGCGTTGTCAATTTGTTTCCCTTGTTGGGATGGAGGGTTTAAATGGGGGTTGGATTTAAGCATGCATGCATATTTCGAGCGTGGATTTTTCGACGGCAGAGGGAGTCTGGGCAATATACGTTTATATAAGTGAAGGGGGAGAGGAGTGGGTAATCTCACGGG